GTTGTATCTGGAAGGACAGGCCACCTTAGAGAAACTTGTTGTATCAGGAAGGCCAGGTCACTATAGAGTACCTGTTGTATCTGGAAGGACAGGTCACTTTAGAGGTACCTGTTGTATTAGGAAGGACTGGCCACTATAGAGATACCTGTTGAATTAGGAAGGACAGGTCACTATAGAGGTACCTGTTGTATTAGGAAGGACTGGCCACTATAGAGGTACCTGTTGTATCTGGAAGGACAGGTCACTATTGAGGTACCTGTTGTATCAGGAAGGGCAGGTCACTATAGAGATACCTGTTGTATCTGGAAACACAGGTCACTATTGAGGTAACTGTTGTATTAGGAAGGACAGGTCACTATAGAGATACCTGTTGTATCTGGAAGGACAGGTCACTATTGAGGTACCTGTTGTATTAGGAAGGACAGGTCACTATAAAGATACCTGTTGTATCAGGAAGGACAGGTCACTATAGAGATAACTGTTGTATCAGGAAGGACAGGTCACTATTGAGGTACCTGTTGTATTAGGAAGGACAGGTCACTATTGAGGTACCTGTTGTATTAGGAAGGACAGGTCACTATAGAGATACCTGTTGTATCTGGAAGGACTGGCCACTATATATAGAGATACCTGTTGTATCAGGAAGGACAGGTCACTATAGAGATACCTGTTGTATCTGGAAGGACAGGTCACTATATATAGAGGTACCTGTTGTATCAGGAAGGACAAGTCACTATTGAGGTACCTGTTGTATCAGGAAGGATAGGTCACTATAGAGATACCTGTTGTATCAGGAAGGACAGGTCACTTTAGAGATACCTGTTGTATCAGAAAGGACAGGCCACTATAGAGATACCTGTCGTATCAGGAAGGACAGGCCACTATAGAGATACCTGTTGTATCAGGAAGGACAGCTGGTCACTATATAGATACCTGTTGTATCAGGAAGGACAGGCCACTTTAGAGATACCTGTTGTATCAGAAAGGACAGGCCACTATAGAGATACCTGTCGTATCAGGAAGGACAGGCCACTATAGAGATACCTGTTGTATCAGAAAGGACAGGCCACTATAGAGATACCTGTAGTATCAGTAAGGACTGGCCACTATAGAGATAACTGTTGTATCAGGAATTAAGGACAGGCCACTATAGAGATATGTGTTGTATCAGGGAGGACAGGTCACTATAGAGGTACTTGTTGTCTGAGAAGGACTGGCCACTATAGAGATACCTGTTGGGCCAGGTTGGACTTGACACTATTGAGGTACCTGTTGGGCCAGGTTGGACTAATTGACACTATAGAGGTACCTGTTTAGTCAGGTAATTAAGACTGGTAACTGTAAAGGTTTCATGTCAGGTATAGAATTGTAATGTAATAATGCTAGAACTGGTAATGTACCAAGCTGCTGGTCTCTGTGACTTGGCTAGCGCTGAAGCTTTAGTCTAACAAACCTAAGTAGGTATTTTGTATTGATTTGGAGCCTTTCATCCAGGTATATACTTGCCAGGTCATTGATCTGCGCTTGGTAAACATCTGTCATTTATGTAGTTTACACTTAATGGATATACATATTCATATTGTCAGTAAGACCTGCACTCGCCCTACATGGGCATACATCTGTGCAATGATGCACTATATATTTACCTGTACAGATGGATTAGTGTTGTGTCGGAAATTTTACCTGTCTCACCATATCTATAACACTTTATGCTGCTTAGAAGTTACAGATATTGAATCTCATACTTAAGGGTAAGCATGAATGATAGATTTGTTTCAGTTAGAAAAAAAGGTTCTTGGAGCTCCAGTAGGTAGTACTACAGTAGGTTTGCTACATGTACATGGTCTATTCCTATTGACTGTGATGTAGATTTATATAACAGTTATGTTAGCCTGTTAGTATAGGGACACAGTGCTTATCTATACATGTCAATACTGTACTATTGGTAAGTGAATAAAATATTCAGGTTCTTAAAATTCTTTGTACATGTGCTATGACTTTACTGATGATTGTTGCTATTCAAAATTACAAGGTCACTTCATTTTTGAATACTTCCATATATTTATTACCATACGTCAGCTTGAATTTGCAAAAAGATGTATAAGTACTTTCTTTATAAACATCATGTGAAAATGTAGTTGAGTTTTATATATTTAGACACAATAATATAATTATGTCAAATTAAACAAATTGTAGAGATACGATAGTGTACCAATTTGATAATAGAACAATGTATGGTTAAATTAAATAACCAAAATAACTATGGTTGGGGCTGATTTTAGATTTTAGAGACACGGATACCTGAAAGCTTACCTGATATATTTATATTTACAATTAGGAGAATTTAGACTACCCTGTTACTTATTTATCAAAACAGAACAGAGAAAGTACAAAAAGGTCTACCCAGGTACATAATGTATCTTTGAATCAGACCTTATCCCACCTGCACTAAGATACAGTACTGCCAGTACACTAAGGCACTGGGTGTAATACCTGGCAATAACACTACCTCTTCGTCTTCCACAGGGCTTAACGCTGATCACAAGTATAAGGAAAATGGTTATCACAAGTGTAATGTGTGTAGTCCTAGGATTTTCTGAAGTGCATGTTTATTGTAGATGACTTGATGTTATATATAGGGATGAGTGATCACTACACGATACTTCTGTACACAATGGTCCGCCCCCAACATACCTCCCGTTGTAATTACACATCAGTGCTTCCCAGTACTAAAGGAGAATTTAAAGGTTACCACCAGTTCAGGTGCTTGTTATTCAGGCACAAGTGAAGAAACATGTGACCTTATTTTTTCACTATTTAGGTGTGTCTGTTTATTGTGTAATAAGAAAAGTTATTTAAGTTTTCACACTGACATTTTAGTGCTAATAAAGATTGCAAAGTGTGACAGAAACTCTGAAGGCATCCGTAACAGATGGAACCACACCTGATATTGTAGCTGAGGTAGAATTAAGTATGTAAGCTGGCTTTGTTTGAAAAATCATAATGTGGACAAGGTTGGTAACATTTCAACATATTTCTCTTGTTTAATTTTTAGGATGTTATGAATTGTGTAATGTGTATATGAGTCTGTTCAGAACTTAAATCATTCTTGAACTTTGTGAAAAGCATACTGTTGATACATGTAGGTAGATCACTCTAGATCTCGACACAAAATCTGTAGCTGTGACTATAGATTAAGACTTATTTATGTAATATGTTCATAGACAGGTACATGTATCTATTTCCGACACAATAATTTGGCATACTTGGGAACCTAATAAAATGACAATCTTTATTTTATAGAATAAAACACTAACAATTTATATAGCTATTGTATTTACTCACCCTCTAAACTGTATTAAATCAGAGTTTATGGTAAATTTCATTCCTCTGGTATATTGCTTGATCTGCCAATCATTTAAAAAAAAAATCATATAGCTCGTAAGTGCGATATGCATATACAGTCCAACCTGTATTAAGAGACCACCCTAGGGAATTTCAAAAAGTGGTCTCTTAATGCAGGTCCATTTCACTAATAGAATCTACAACCCTCTGGATGATATTCTGTATTGTCTTACCCTTGGCAAAGCCTGGCTAAGACAATCAAGAATATCATCCCTCTGGTTGGAGATTTCCCTGACACACCGTTAAGGTACAGGATTATTTTTTTCTCCCATCCTGTTTCACGCACAAATCCGCTGACAAGCGGTGATTGCATGAAAAATAAGCGTAGAGTGCATATTTTTTCCAGTAAATCCAGAGTTGTCTTCCATGGTCTGCTACTGTTGACGTGATGTCCATGCATTGATGACATGACGTCATACTATTGTAATGACTAAGATCGCACTATTTTGCAGGAGGCTATAGCTATCTCCCCCCTACGGGGTGACAAGCTGATCTTTTGTGGCTTAAAAGGGAGACACACCTTGAAGGGTAGGAGAAAATGAAATAACAACAATGGAAAACATTAATGGTGGTCTCGTAAACACAGGTGGTCTCTTTATGGAGGTGGTCACATTAGCAGGTTTGACTATTTAAGGAACACTTGATTGGTGCCAATGAACCATTACATAGTACATATTTTAGAGATAAGTAATGACAAAGTTTTCCAGATAAGTAATGACAAAGTTTTCCATTGCCACAGAGTGTTTGTTTTATTAGATAAAAGGTAAAAAACTAAGGCACTTTTTTCCTGCCTTTTTATCGTCTCATATCTGGTGACAAGGTTACAACATCTGGCACAATACACACTAGGTAAATATTATGTTGGCTGAAGTGTTTATTATAATTTACCTAAACATTTAATTTGAAAACTAAATTGCTTGCACCTAGAAAGTTATCAGTTCGACAAAATTGAAATAATGTTTTGATCATGGTCATTGGATAGAAAAATAAGGAGTTTATTATATCATACATTGAGAGTTTATGAGGTAGTCACCATATGAGACATAGCCGAGTGAATGAAGCAGAATCGAGGCGCAACAGGTTACTGATTCCACGTGTGTCAATAGGACTAATACTGAAGCTGAGTTGTGTATCTCTATGGATGCATGAGTTAATGGGATTCGGTTGCAGCAGTGATTGTAAAATATACAGAATTTATTGCGTAAGTTTATAAGGTTGGCAATAATATATTCTTCATTCTGTAATGTTTGCTATCATTAGCGTTTGATGTTTTGGCCAGTAGGTGTTGATCTGTGCACTTTAATGTTAACCCATAAATAGGAGAAGTTGGATCAGTTATTGGTCCAGTTTTCTTGCCAATTTTCAACAATAAAAACTTGAATAATTGTTTGATTTCTTTGTGAGAAAGACATAATGCAACATAGAAATGTATCTATAGGAAATTAAAGTCTGTAAACTGGATCAGACAGTATCAAATTTAAAGCTGTAAGGACATATAAAAATGAGACATAGGTGATATGATACAATGGCTCTGGTCATAACAGGTATATTGTTGGCTGAATGTCATCAGGAACAATTTCGATATAGATACCTTATAGCACTCTTCAGTGTGAGATTGAATGTATAAGTTATGCCCCTACATGGTGTCCATGCAGTTCCATTCCGATGTATTTTCATGATCATGACTCTACGAGTTCATTTCTTAACATATATCAAAGTTTATACAAAGGTCGTGTAAGAAAATACCATCCAAGAATTGGTATTTCAGGATCCAAAGGTCAACACCAAGGTCACTGTTATCTTTTAAAGGTCAACCACAAGAATTGGGCCCAGGGAACAATCATGTCCTACAACTGGTTCTAGTTTTATCCATGCTCAGAATTTCCTGGCTCAAACGCAACCCTTAGAGCTGCCGATCCATGTTTGTTGAAAAGCCTTCCTTCCAAGTTACTTTTGTTTGACTCTTTCTGTACCGCAAATCCGGTTTGGATTCCGTACCGGTTGTCCTTGCTAGGCTTACTAGGTAACCATGAACAAATACTGTTATTTTTTTGCAGCATAATGACTAACTCGCAGCTGATTGTGACAGAGAAATCAACATTTGTCCGGCAACTAACCATACGATTCTGTGTATTTTAACCAGCATTGTAGTGCAGGTTCCCATTGGGGATTGTTTATGGCTACAAAGTCATTATTTTTTTTTCTACATACAAGTAGATTTTATACAGACTTATATAAAGATATTCATAATTACTTCCAAGTCTTCATAAATATGTGATGATGAATTTACGAGTGTTTGTATCGAATCAACTTGTCGCCATATTGTTTATATTTAAGACACCTAACGCAAACATCTTGCAGCAAATTCGAAAACAATAGATCACATAATGGAAAATGCTCTGCACCTATAAAAATATTTCTTTTCAACTGATGGGTGCTGATTTTAGCGACAATTTATTGGATTACGCGACTTTCATTACTATAACCAGCTAAACATAAGACATGTAACATCAAAATTTATTGTCGTGTGGACAAGACAACAGGGGTGAGACAGACTATTTTTTTGTCGTCTTTACAGGACAAGGTTGACCAGGATGACATATTGTTGTCGCGTGCACACGACAACGGTACGGAAAGAGTTAATTCATGCTTCTGGCTTAAGCTTGCTTTCATGTGATTTCAGTGCATGCTTGGATACTAAGTCAGTGTGTTGTTAATGATACATTACTATATTATAGAGTGTGGAACCCTCCTAATGGTACAGCCGAGAGATTCTAATCCCACACTGCCTAGCCAATAATGCCGGAGGCAGGTGCAGTCATGATGGACACAGAGCCAGGTGACTGTGAACCTGTCCAGCTACAACCGTTTATCCACCAGGTGGGAGGCCACACTAGCATGCTACGATTCAACGACGACACACTCTGCAAGCCACTAATCGCACGTGAACAGGTCTTCTACCAGGCCATTCCATGTGGTCTAAAGCAGTTCACTCCCCAGTACAGAGGTAGGTAGCAAAGTCACAGGTGTAATACGAACAATTTATCTGCAATAACCTTTTGACTTTTAACATATATATCAGGTAGACATTTAAATTCTAACATAAATCAATCTCTTTACAAAACTGAAAAATATTAGCAAAGATATAAACTGGAAATTATTTCTATATGTTGTTTTGTTATACCAAATGAAATCAATTTGAAGTCAATATCTTGTATATTACATGCATATATATGTAAACTCTGTATTGATATTGTACGTTCTAGAAATGTTATTGCCAATTCTGTTTTATTGATTTCAAAATATGTTATATAAACTTCCCATAAAAATAGTGAAAGATAACTTGCTTTAATGACATGTCATAAAATCCATATTCTGTACACATATTAGCCCTCATTTATTTACATGTCACCCTGGCAGTGTATACACTCTTCAGTAGACATTTAATGTTGAAATAGCTGTTTTTTTATGTCAATAATTCATTTACATTACTAGGGCTTTAAAATGGGAGTTAAAATGTATTTACAGAAAACACAGGAACACCATATTGTGTATGGATCCATGAACAAGCTTGACTTTAACTGATGCAGTTTTATATTTGTGATTATATTGGAATCATGTTTCTGTCTGTCTGTTAGTCCATGGATTAAAGCTTGTCTAGATAATTTATGTTTAACTACCAACCCAATTTCACCCAAATTTATATGCATAATTATATATTTATATGCATGATCAGGAAGTTGTGCACTTATGATTTTTTTTTCTTTTTCTAGAGTTATTTCCCTTTTTTGTACTAGGTCATTTCAAGCCTTGTGTGGACATTTCTTCAAAAGCATCTGCCCAATTACAAAATCTTTCTAGAAGTGATACACAAGGGATATCTACTTAATGTATACAAATTACCAACTTTTACTTTGGGGGATTCAAAACTGTGAAACCTGTCAAAAAAAGGACCAATATTTCTTGTTGGAATTAATGGACAGGACTTCTGATAACATGGGTTCAATTTACATGTAAATTTCATCAGTTTATATAGATTTTCTCTATGTGGGCTATTTTGAAGGTGTATTTTGTACAAGTTTATCACTACACAAGGTTTAGTTTTGACTGGTAGAGTGTAGGTCATGATAATGGCTCTGTAGCTTCTAACATAGTATTATTAGGTACGTTTATAATCTATAGATGCAAGCTGCTTTGGTATTTAGATCTAACACTGGTAATACCTTGTTTATTGTAGGGGTGATAGAGGTCCAGCTACACGAGGACAGTGAAGGCTACATCACACTGATTGGCTACCCTCCCGAGGGTGGTGGCAAAGTCAACTTTCCCAGGAATACGTCCCCAGTCTCCAGTGAGAGTGACACAGATACAGCCAGCCCTGTCCTAAACACCAAACACAAACATGACCGACCAGGTGACCCGTACAGGTAAGTTACACCAAGATGTGCAGGCAAAGTCTCCCCTACAGATAAGTCATATACAAAGACATTATAACTACTAAAATGACCCCAACAGTCACATATAGATACAACTGCTGGGATGACCCTTACAGTCACACGCAGAAACAGCTGCCAAGGTGGCACCTAAAGTCACATATAAACGCGCCTACTGAGGTGACCCCAACAGTCGCACATAGATACAACTGCTGGGATGACTCCTACAGTCACACGCAGAACCAGCTGCCAAGGTGGCACCTAAAGTCACATATAAACGCGCCTACTGAGGTGACCCCAACAGTCGCACATAGATACAACTGCTGGGATGACTCCTACAGCCACACGCAGAAACAGCTGCCAAGGTGGCACCTAAAGTAACATATAGACACGCCTACTGGGGTGACCCCTACAGTCACAAATAGATACAGCTGCCAAGGTGGCACCTAAAGTCACATATAAACGCGCCTACTGAGGTGACCCCAACAGTCGCACATAGATACAACTGCTGGGATGACTCCTACAGGCACACGCAGAAACAGCTGCCAAGGTGGCACCTAAACTCACATATAGACACGCCTGCTGGGGTGACCCCTACAGTCACACATAGATACACCTGCTGGGATGACTCCTACAGTCACACGCAGAAACAGCTGCCAAGATGGCACCTAAAGTTACATATAGACACGCCTACTGAGGTGACCCCTACAGTCACACATAGATACAACTGCCGGGATGACTCCTACAGTCACACGCAGAAACATCTGCCAAGGTGGCACCTAAAGTCACATATAGACACGCCTACTGGCGTGACCCCTACAGTCACACATAGATACAGCTGCCAAGGTGGCACCTAAAGTTACATATAAACACGCCTACTGGGGTGACCCCTACAGTCACAAATAGATACAGCTGCCAAGGTGGCACCTAAAGTCACATATAGACACGCCTAATGGGGTGACCCCTACAGTCACACATAGATACGGCTGCCAAGGTGGCACCTAAAGTCACATATAAACGCGCCTACTGAGGTGACCCCAACAGTCGCACATAGATACAACTGCTGGGATGCCTCCTACAGTCACACGCAGAAACAGCTGCCAAGGTGGCGCCTAAAGTCACATATAGACACGCCTGCTGGGGTGACCCCTACAGTCACACATAGATACAACTGCTTGGATGACTCCTACAGTCACACGCAGAACAAGCTGCCAAGGTGGCACCTAAAGTCACATATAGACACGCCTACTGGGGTGACCCCTACAGTCACACATAGATACAGCTGCCAAGGTGGCACCTAAAGTCACATATAGACACGACTGCTGAGGTGACACCTAAAGTCATTCACACTTATTCCTTTCAAGACCAAATAACTTTAGATATTATTGCCCTCTGATGTAATTGACCAAGTTAGTCATAATATTGAAAAGTAGTATTCATTGTTTAACAAAATGACATAACAGTACTTGAAATTATTTATATCAACTTGACATTGAAGTGTGTATATATATATTTTACCATGTAGTGTATGTGTGTGCCTACTTGACCTTGTAATAATGATATTGACCTTGACCTTGTAGTGTGCGTCTGCTGAGGAGTGGCAGCCTTGAAGTGAGCACACAGACAGAAAAAGTGTTCCACATGAATGATCCCAAATCAGGCAAGCATGACAAGACTGAGGGAATCAATCCCTGGAGCCTTAAGTGCCACAAACGCCAGCTGTCCAAGATGAGGCGTATCACACAGGGAGCTGGGTCCTTTACTAGCAGTATCCTTTACTGACCCACTGTATAAAGGAATGTCATCCAATGAAAAGTTGTAAACAGTTTATTACTCAATAGCTGGCTACAATAACAAAGCTTATGTTGGTGACGCTTCCATAAAACGGCATTAAACTTCCAAATAATGAAAGTTAAGGTTACTATGTTCCAACATTTCAGGTTTTACAAATTAATATGGAGTATGAGATGGGCTAGAATCTTGACACCTGCTGCAAACCGTTGAAGACAGAGTTGATCATAACTATTGTAAGGTACTACTGGTGTTCATCAAGTGTTTTAGCCGCATATTTTAATATTTCACTGTCAATAAGAAAAATTACAAAATCAGTTTACAAAAGTTCTTTATTTTACAAGTTCACAGTTCTTATTAGAATTTATTCTTACATTAACATAGGAAAGGGAACTTTTGATTTCACTAGCTCAAGATTGAGGGTTATTTTAATTCATCATTTTGTCTTAATTGACTGAATTAATGGAACATTCCTTCTCAAAGGTATCTTAAACCATTGTTTTGTCTGTGATCCTTGACATGTGACAGAGTTTATATTGCTGGAGAACGTTGCAGCCCAGTGTGACTACCCCTGTATCCTTGACCTGAAGATGGGCACACGCCAACACGGAGATGATGTCCCAGAGGCCAAGAAACAGAGTCACATCAGAAAATGTGAACAGTCCACCTCCAGTGTCCTTGGTGTTCGCATCTGTGGCATGCAGGTACAGGTCATAGGTCAACTTTTTCTGGTACAGGTTGAATTTCATGGGGATAGCTCTGCAATAACCTCAAACACTGAGGAAGGAAAAGGAACTGCCTTTAATTGTTTATTATAACACTCCCTCTTCCAGGGTTAAAGGGTAAACAAAGTAAAAATCTTGTGTTACAGATATCTCATGTGCTCTTCAAAAGATTTAGTTTGTATCTACTCCATAGTGGTTACATCAAGTTCTGTACCTCATTAGATTTTGGTGGTCAACTGCAAAGGTTAAACGATTGAATGTAACACTTGACATTTTGTGGGGTGGAGAGTATGTCTATGTTTATATATATACATTAAAACAAGTCAATACTGCATTTGTTTATAAAGACAGGTTTAATCGACATAAAAATGTATAAGAAAGAAATGAGTAATAGGCCCATTTCACATAGTATTCCAGATTCTAGTATCAGTAATTAAACCAATATCTGACATGATTGGCAAGTGTCGGAAGTAGTTTATTAGAGAACTGTTTTGTATCTAAATCCAATGCTCTTTGTCAAAGAAACTTGCTGTGCAGTGTTGCCTATTTAGTACTTTGGTATTATAATTTTATGCTAAGATACTGATACTGTTTTGTTATTACCAGGTATACCAGGCCAGCACTCAGAAATACATCTGTCACAACAAGTATTACGGGCGTAGTCTGTCAGTTGAGGGGTTCAAACAGGCCCTGTGTCAGTTCTTAAACAACGGCAACCAACTGCGGACAGAACTTGTGCATGAGATTGTAAAACGCCTACAGGAATTACACCAGAACGTGACAGAGCAGGACACATTCCGCTTCTACTCCAGTTCCCTTCTCATTATGTATGATGGTGTGATGGGCAATGGGAACACAGCATCTAGCAGTAGACAAGGGCGGTCCCAGTCAGCCAGAGAGAGGGACCTCGAACATGAAGACAGTGACAGTAACGCAAGCTCTGTGTCGGAGGGAGACAAGCCCTCTAACAGTCACTTCTTGTGTGATAGACGAGTCCCAAATGTGGACGTGAAGATGATAGACTTCGCACATAGTACACACAGTGGCTTTCAGGGCGACAAAACAGTCCACAAAGGGCCAGATCAGGGCTATCTCCTGGGCCTTGCAAGTCTCATCAAACTGTTTAATGAAATTGTGGATCGGCCACACCTGCCATAATGACCGCTGTGCTGTGAATATTGACACACGTTGTTGAATTTTGTTTGTAACTTTTAAGACTATGATACCTCAGGCAAAAAACACTGGACATTTCCAATGGCAGTCTGTCTCCGTCTACACCGAGGTGTTTAGGTGTCTCTACCTAGGGAAGGGGTGAACTATGGGGTCATCTATGGTTCTGTGTCCATATATCATTACAGGGTCATCCATGTATATAATTTTTAATTTCTATATACTTGATCAGAAGATGTCATGCATTTCTGTCACAAACAATATTTGCTTATAAAGATCTGCATAACATTACTTTTGATGACAATGTAATACCGTCTCAGCAGATGTTAAACAATGGAGACTTTATCCATTGTCTTCTCATACACATGTTGGCCTAACTTCTGATATAGACTTTTGTTGCATTTAGAACATTTATGATTTTATTAGCCTTGTTAGGAGTTTTACATAGGCACCTGTATTGGAAATCAGTTTAACATAGGCTTTGTTTGCTTTATTTTACAGAGAATATCATTTGTATGTTTAAATATCCCTTGATAAGAGCTGTGAGTAGTTATTTTAATTTTTGCAAAATTTTCATATTAATATGATAGATTCACATTAAATTATCTGCCTTGATATTAGATCATTTTAATGTGCAGTACATGTACATCTGTTAGTGTCAGTTATTGATTGCGTACTTTACTAACATGACAATATGTGGACTATGATTGATTGATTTGCCTCATTAATAAGTTTTATGAATTTTTCCAACACATTTTTATATGCCAATGATATGTAACTGTTCATCTATCATTTAAATTGTTTTAATAGACATTGTTATGGACAATTGATATTTCTTCAATATGTTTATGTAGTTTCACAAGGGTATTTATTTATCAGAAGTCTGAGTGATGTCTTCTGTTGGCCTTAAGGTTAGAATGATAGCCTAAGTAGGTATAAAGGTCAAGGTAGTGATCTCTGTAGGTTAGCTCAAGGTCATCCTCCAAAGGTTAAGGTCAGGGTCACCCTTAGAAGGTGAAGGTCAGAATGCTGACTTGAGTGTATTTGAAGGTCAGAGTGGAAAGAGATATGTTGTTTTATTCACCTGACGTTAGTCCTGTTCCTTGAGGGCAAAAGTATTCATGGTGGCCTTAGGGTGAAGGTCAAGGTTGCAGCCTCAGTAGTTAGGAAGGTCAATGTGATGATCTCAAGGTCATGGCATTAGAAATAAAGTTCAAGGTGATGACCTCAGTAGGTGTGAAGTTCAAGGTGATGACCTCAGTAGGTATTTAGTTCAATGTGAAGTATGAAGGTCAAGGTGGTGATCTTACATTGTATGTGTATACAGAGGTGCAATATACATTGTGCAGATATTATATTTACTTAGCCATGCTCGACCAGTTTACTTTATATATATATGCCAACCATGCTCGACCAGTTTACACTATATATATGACAGCCTTACAATGTTGAATGATGTTGTAATGAACATGTTTATACATCTCAAGAATCTTTTATATAATGCTGTTGAACATTTTTTTAAATGTCTCTCTTATTTGATTTAAAATAGACCCTGGTCCCAGTCTCTGAATCATCCCTTAACTTAAGCAGGTTCCGTAACTTAATATTTCCCATAGGACAGCATTTCTTAGGTAAGTGAATCTTTTTTCTTAAACTCAAAATGCTTCCAGATGGAAAATGAAAGAAATTTTCCTAGATTAGGGATTGTTTTTGAAACTGGGGCTTGTAGTATCATATTTGTATCTCATTTCATACCCTTTACTGTAATATATGGCATATTCTTCACTGATTCAAGTATTTATACATAAAAAAATACCGGTATATATATATATATATAAGGTCATCATCTCGTACTAAATCATACATTGATACATTGTCGGTCACAGATAACATATTGACATCCCTACTTTGTTTATCAGTTACAGGAGTTGTGTTGATGTTGTTTATTAATTGTGTCCAGTTGCTTGTTAGGTTAATTGTTGTTTCAGTAAAGTTGTGTTGAAGTTTCACTCTGTATCATCCAACGTGGATCTAAGCGTCGTGACAAGATACAAGAAATTGTGTTTGTACGTGTAGTTACTGATAGGTGTCTCACCAGTTCCACACAACACTTAACATATAATCTGATGTTTATTGTGTTACCGATTAAAAGGCTTTAAATATTAATTAAAATAATGTCTGTGACATTGTAATTGTTTCAAAGAGAATAACAAAAATGATATTTTACTGTGCCCTGTGAACATGAACATTGTCATACTCAACTTTATGTATTCGACTTGTATTTATATATTATGTTGACATATGTATTAATATATCATTTAGACAAATGTATTGATATATTATGTTGACATGTGTTGATATATTATGTTGACATATGTGTTGATATATTATGTTGACATAAGTGTTGATATATTATGAGGACATATGTGTTGATATATTATGTTGACATAAGTGTTGATATATTATGTTGACATATGTGTTGATATATTTTGTTGACATATGTGTTGATATATTATGAGGACATATGTGTTGATATATTATGTTGACATATATGTGTTGATATATTATGAGGACATATGTGTTGATATATTATGAGGACATATGTGTTGATGTATGATGTGGACATATATTATTTTAGGTTATAATTTTTATGCAGCTACATGGACATTAAGGCGCTATGAAAGTTAATGTGTGGAATCTGTCCCCCACGATTATAATGATACATAAAGTGACATGTTGCTGCAGAAACAATAATCACAGGTCTATCCCATCTCCCATTGATAACATTGACCAACCAGTACATCTTTATAACAGGGCAGCAATTATGCATTGGATCAGTAAATATTGATATACACAAAATCTCAGATTTTTGACGATTTTTCACCCTGTCTAAATAATGTAAGCATTGGAAGAGCAAAGAATTATTATAGGAATGTATTTCTACTGATGTGGTCAATTGCACACAGATCCGAATATGAAAATAAGTATTCAGGAGTGTCTTACCAAAGTGACACTCAACTCATTCACCCCTACATATTTAAACTGGATTTGCCCAGTCTTTGATTTGGGAAGATTCAAATGTGACTTAAGGGGTGGGTGCGTTAAGGTCGTCGTCAGCACAACGAGGGGAAGTAACTCTTACAAAAACTTAATTACAATGGTGAGATCAAGTAAACAGTGATAATGCATTTATAAAGGAGATAATGTATTTGATGCATGACCCTACTTATTTAAAGCACGTTGTAGAAGTACATTTATTATGACAATGGTGTCCTAAGCAACATGTGTAATGTAATCTTGTGGGATGTTATTTCTCTACTCATTTATGACGTCATAAACAATTAAACATGTAACTACAACATTGCGTCCTGATTTGACCATACAGTCGTATTTCAATTGTAAACTCATAAAAAGCATTGATAAAGATCATGACAGTGTTTGTAATGCTTACTTTTGTAACATGTTTGCATCAATTCTTAAGTTTGTGATAAAATGATCTTGAAACTGTTTCATTTTACGAAATTTGATAGAAATTAGGGGAAAGATCATTGGTCATTTTGTAGCTGAACCGTCGCCCAGTAGTCAATAAACGTAAGTCTTATTTTACCTTGATAGTCATTATACTGACGTTTTAAACTATTGTTTGAATGTTGTTTCAAGCTTAGGTATCATATATTGATGTATCGCGTTTAGGTTGAAATCATTGGTTATGTTTAATTCAGCCTACACAAGCCTTACTCCATTCACACTTCTTTAAATATTTGAGTAACTGCCTGTGTGGTAGTAATGTGACAATGTGTAGTCGAAGTCTGTCTCATGTTCTGTAGATCTTGCACTAATTACCGGTCTTTGTGTCAGGAACTTACAATGCTTTAATTATTTGTTGTTTTGTTATTGGTAAATATTTTTGTTGAAATCCATTTCGTGGCTAATGGTGTCTGTTGTGTATATCAATGTCACCAGTAGATGAGGTTTGTGCCATTTATTTACAATATGTACTGTATTCATCCCAATTTATCAGATTTACAACTCAAGTAGTAAATTGTGAACACTTACATGTTCAGGTAACATAACAAGGTCACCTGTCCTATATTGATGTAAATATTACATTATACACAGATAACATAACAAGGTCACCTGTCCTATATTAATGTAAACATTACATTATACACAGGTAACATAACCAGGTCACATGTCCTATATTAATGTATACATTGCATTATACACAGGTAACATAACCAGGTCACCTGTCCTATATTAATGTAAATATTACATTATACACAGGTAACATAACAAGGTCACCTGTCCTATATTGATGTAAACATTACATTATACACAGGAAGCATAACCAGGTCACATGTCCTATATTAATGTAAACATTACATTATACACAGGTAGCATAACCATGTCACCTGTCCTATATTAATGTATACATTACATTATACACAAGTAACATAACAAGGTCACCTGTCCTATGTTAATGTATACATTACATTAGACACAGGTAACATAACCAGGTCACCTGTCCTTTATTAATGTATACATTGCATTTTACACAGGTAATATAACCAGGTCACCGGTCCTATATTAATGTAAACATTACATTATACACAGGTAACATAACCAGGTAACCTGTCCTATATTAATGTAAACATTACATTATACACAGGTAACAAAACCAGGTCACCTGTCCTTTATTAATGCATACATTGCATTATACACAGGTAACATATATAATGAGGTCACCTGTCCTATATTAATGTAAATATTACATTATACACAGGTAACATATATAACGAGGTCATCTGTCCTATATTAATGTAAACATTACTTTATACACAGGTAACATATATAAAGAGGTCACCTGTCCTATATTAATGTAAACATTACATTATACACAGGTTACATATATAACCAGGTCACTTGTCCTATATTAATGTAGACATTACTTTATACACAGGTAACATAACCAGGTCACCTGTTCTATATTAATGTTATTATTACATTATACACAGGAAACATATATAACCAGGTCACTTGTCCTATATTAATGTAACCATTACATTATACACAGGAAACATATATAACCAGGTCCCCTGTCCTATATTAATGTATACATTGCATTTTACACAGGTAATATAACCAGGTCACCTGTCCTATATTAATGTAAACATTACCTTATACACAGGTTACATATATAACCAGGTCACCTGTCCTATATTAATGTAAACATTACATTATACACAGGTAACATATATAACCAGGTCACCTGTCCTATATTAATGTTATTATTACATTATACACAGGTATTATAGTAAGGCCTCCTATGGTAAACTAATATTAATTACACTTCATCATAACAGACTTGATAGGTATCATTGTTATGTTGCTCTGTGCCATGATGACAAGATGTGGAACGTAAGCAAGAGTTTGTTGTGTGTTGTACAATCCTGGGACCACCAGAATGGACATGGTTTATAACTTCTGGTTAATAATGTTTGTGACTTGGTTTGTGCTAGGTTGCCTTCATCTCAGATTTTATAGATCACCTTACCTCAGATTCCTGACTCTGTAATTACTGACACAGATGAAGGAAAGCTAGGCATACTAATTCAAAGTGGTATTAACACAGTGTATGCTACCATTAATTAATTACCTTAGTTCATATTACCGCAAAGTTATTTTAAATGTTTGATGAGACAATATGTCAGGACCTTGTATAGCTATTCTCTGCCCACACCAAGATTGTAACTTAAGGTAAGGCATGCCCCATATGCCTTCTTAAGGTATGTATGCATGCTCAGAATGAATCTGACTTCGATACGTAGTATATGTGGACTTGTTTGTTTCTATCTGTAGTTCTAAATCATACAGGTATTGGACTGGGTACTCCCATGCTCTGAATTCTTAGGGTACCTGGCTTTGTAGCAAACATTCTCCTTGACTTGTAATAAGGGTACTCAGCTCTGTAGTGTAACATTGTACAGGCACTGGACTGGGTACTCACACCCCATTTATAATCTTGTCCTGGGAAATTTTCGCTGCAGTTTAATTTTCAAGGGCAAATTTATCATAACAGCGAGTATAACTAAACAACACACCCAATGTAATTGTAACATTTCAAGGGCGAAACTATCACTGGACGAACATGGTATTAACCAGGGAAGAGTGAATATATGACTGGGCCTAAGTTTTCTGCTATACAGTACAAGGTTGCTGTTGTACTACTCCATCATACAGGGGCATTATCAGGTGTAGGTTATCTAAATATCCACACTGTTGCTGGTACATTGTGACCTGTGAGCTTTGACCTGGCAGTGTAGGTCAATGGCAAGGTTAAACAATCATTTATGTACAATAAACTTGTATTATTTATTAGTGTACAGTATACAGTGTATAGAGATTATTATTATTGAGTCAGTATACTGTTGTACACAATCTCCCTTGTCCATAAGATGTGGTATACATCATATGTATGAGTAGTCCCAGGCAGCAGACTATCCTACTGTAACGTGACAATACACATACATTATTGGGTTTCACTGGTGTAGTTTACATTCTTCAGTATTTCATTATGATGGGTTATCGTCACATGCTTTGTTTACATTTGATACCTGCCTGGATGGCTGAACACTGAGGCAGCATCTCCTCCGGGATCCGGTGATACATAAACAATACATTGTAACATGTCAAAAGTTAGAGTTCACACTTTTCACTCTGTCACAGTTGTGGTTGCGTTTCACAAGAATATTGTTCAGAATGTTCTTTCTTTTAAAAATTCTTTTCAGACTTCCATCATTCTTGTCAAGATAAAATTCTCATGATTTTTTTTTTACACAACTCTGATCACACTTATTTAGAGGTATGAATCCCACAATTGATACTGAAGTGAGAGAGTTACTCCTGATGGTGAGCATACAAGTACAGCTTAAACCTTCATACAGGTATCCAGTCTTGGCTAACTTGTTTGAACATTTTGTATTGAGAGAAAGATTTCGTTTTTCTGTAGTGTCAGAAGTTCAGGAAGACGTAACTCTGCGAGTACACATGATATATTTTGTTCTAGCTGTTGCTTTGATAAAGGTATATATACAACTACCAGTAGTGTCAACAACATCTCTACTTATTTTACTAATTGGTGTTATCGTTAATGACAGATACCAGTATGTACAAAGTAAAAACAAAAGGTATTTGTCGTTTTAGGAGAGAATTTCTTGATCTGCTTTCATTGACTTTGTTAATTAAGATCTGATTTTGCCTTTGTTTGTCAAGATTATTTGTAATTGTTATGTGAATTGTGTTGTGGAAATTGGTTAGGACCATGCATAGCTGTGTAGATCTGTGCCCACACCAACTGGTGAGGGTGTTATATGCCCATCATGTGAAGAGGGTGTTATCTATCTATCCATTACATCATGTGGAAAGGTGTCTTCTGCCCACATGCAGTGGTAGGGTGTTATCTGCCCACACAGAGTGTTAAGGGTGTTATCTGCCCACACAGAGTGTTAAGGTGTTATCTGCAACACCTAGTGGTAAGGGTGTTATCTGCCCACACCCAGTAGTAAGGGTGTTATCTGCCCACACCCAGTAGTAAGGGTGTTATCTGCCCACACCAAGTGGTATGGGTGTTATCTGTTCACACAAAGTGGTAAGTGTGTAACCTGCCCACACCAAGTAGTAAGGGTGATATCTGTCCACACCCTGTGGTAAGTATGTAATCTGCCCACACCGAGTGGTAAGGGTGATATCTGTCCACACCCTGTGGTAGGGGTGATATCTGTCCACACCCTGTGGTAAGTATGTAATCTGCCCACACCGAGTGGTAAGGGTGATATCTGCTATCATGTGGTAAAAGTGTTATCTACCCACTAAAGCATGTGGCCAGGATGCTATTATAATCTGCCCACTAAGCCAAAAAGTGAGGGTTTTTTCTACCCCTACATTTAGTTGTGTTATCTTACCACTACATCAAGTAGTGAGGATGTTACCTTCCGTATGCCAACTACTCCGAGTTGTGAGGGTGTTATCCGTCACCTTAACCTAGTGGTGTGGGTGTTACTGTATCTGCCTACCACATGGATCTGGAGCGGTGAGTGTATTACTTGACGAATTGTGTCGGGCATTACATATGGTGCATACAATGACTTGTTTACGGTGGTCCAGACACTTTGTTACCAGGCAAGAAATCAATGACTTAACAGAATAGTGAAGTTTTTTGAAATCTTAACATTCCTTTAACTCAGGGGAGTGTTGAATAAATCACTTTTCAACTCATACTTTTGGCATGACATGACAAAGAGAAATGTCGGCTTCAAAGTCAGTGCCTATGTGGAGTGTTTGACAAAAGTGTACTTACTATTCTCTCTAGGTTGAGTTCACAAGTTCTAAGCTTATCCATTTTTTTTTCTGTACTCATACATGTATATTTATCTTGCTACTGCTAGTGTTTTGTTTACGAAGCAGCAGTATTTCCTGGTTACCATGACAGTAATGCTACCAAGGTTACCATAGAGATGATATTACTATGTAACCATGGTAGCTATAGTTTTGACTAGTACACATGTATTTACCTTGGAAACATTGCAGACTGCTACTATCACAAAGCAGTACTGACGACCTTACTGTTGCAGTTGCTTTCAGTATCCTGGGGACAGTATATGACTTTGTAAGCGTCATTGTCCAGTGTATTGCTAACAGACCTCTGTGACCTGTATACACTGCAGCAATTCCATGGCATGTTATATCATATATACGTGTAATGAATTAGAGAAAATCAAAATGGATTCACACTTGCGCAATATTCTCATCTGTTTCTTAATGTCTTTGACTCAATAAAAATGCCTTTATTCAGTTTGAAGCGTTTTTGTATATTTTTTGAGTAACCTATCATTACATTTGTCAAACATAATACAGCTTTCTGTTTGAAAAAACAGTGAAGTTTAAATTCTCTACTTTAATACTGTTTAAAGTGTCAATTAAGGGCAGTAGCACATGCTTACGGTATAATGAACCTCTAACATAAGGGCAGTAACACATGCGTATGGTGTAATGAACCTCTAACATAAGGGCAGTAACACATGCTTACCGTATAATGAACCTCTAACATAAGGGCAGTAACACATGCTTATGGTGTAATGAACCTCTAACATAAGGGCAGTATCACATGCTTATGGAATAATGAACCTCTAACGTAAGGGCAACAACACATGCCTATGGTGTAACAAACCTCTGAACATATTTGTTGGCCTTTGTCAAAATGTGATGATGGGATTCATAATGTTACCGAGACAATCCTATACCCTATTGCTTAGCTTTTATTTACTTCACTTTAACCCAAGGATGCTCCACACCAAATATGGACCAAATCCTTTCATTCCTTCAGAAGAAGGATTTTAAATAACTTGCTATGTTTCTCCTATTGGGCCCCACCTCTCAGGCCCATGGGGAGCCAGACCCACCTTTTATACAAAATTGATTCCCCTTCACCCAAGGATGCTACAGACCAAATATGGAACAAATCCTTTCATTCCTTAGAAGAAGGATTTTAAAGAATTTGTTTTATTTCCCCTATTGGGCCACGGCCCTCAGCCCCCAGTGAGGCCAGACCCACCATTTATACAAAATTTGTTCCCATTCCCCCAAGGATACTTCTGACCAAATTTGGTAAAAATCTGCTAGGTCGTTCATGACAAGTAACGTATTAAAGAAAAAGTTGACGGACGGACGATGGACGCTGCGGTATGGCATAAGCTCACCATTGTCCTTTGGACCAGGTGAGCTAAAAAGCACCCGAGAGAACAATTTGTATAAAACAAATTACCCAATAGGACAGCTAGTAACAAACAATTTACCCAATAAGAAAGCTTGTAACAAACACTTTATTTGACACTGTGTACAGGACGGATCTTAAAATATAACGTTTGTGTTGTGGATAAAACGCATGGCAAACAAAAACAATTTATAGTAAAAACCAATTTGATTGTCGTCACCAAACTGTGGACTCTTGCACTGGACTGAGTAAGGAAGCACAAATTTGGCTTTCCAATTCAGAAATGAAAAATAAAAATATGTGTACAATAGATAACAGTAAATGAAATGATAGTTACAAATTTTCAATTAATTATCAACTGAAAAAATAAATAAAATTTAAGTGAAGAACATGTCAAAGCAGAATTACATATTAAAAGAACAGTCTAGTTTCTACAATGTTAATTTATCTTCAATAGCTGATTTCAGCATGAAAAGGATAAATTGTGATAATAAAAGCTCCCACCTTTTCTTGAAGTCCATATCCAAAAATGAACTTTTCATTTATCAAAAAAAAAACCCAAACAAAACCAACCTTTTAGGAAAAGGATTGGGTGGTGCAGTGGATAACACACTCACCTTTCATCAACAAGGCAGCTGGGGTTTGATTTCCCGATTAGGCGTAAAAAGATACGGGGCCACCTGCCTGATGACCTACAATGTAGGTGCTATCTGGGTACTCTGGTTTCCTATGACATCAAGACACCCCCCCCCCCCCCCCCCGACACGCTTACTTACGGGCCATTAAGAGTGATTAATACAAGTTGAAATCACTTGTTTCAAAATGTTGTAAAATAAATAGATCTATTATAAATAGTAAAACAACCAGGACATATAACAATTAAAATCAATATCTGTATTCATGGTAAAGTGCAAACTCAATTTGAATTCTCGTCTAGGAGAGATATCATGTTGCAGCATGAATTAAATTCTGTGAAAGCATTTTCCTCGATCAGTAAATCAAATACAATAAACCTAGCTCACATAAAATTGTTTTTATATGAAAACAAAATGTATCACATCTCTTATCAAGCATTTCTTTTGTACTGGAAGCTGTGAGAAATCACAATATCAAAACTGTACCTTCAATTTACTCATTTACCCCTGAAATTTTATAATAAACTATTCCAACCTTTGAATTGGAAGAGTTCAAATGTGTCTTCAGGGGTGAATGAGTTAAATAAATGTATTTATTACAAGACTTAGAACCCATGAGGCAAGGTAAATTAATTGTCTAGAAAATAAAATGAATAGATGATGCACTTCAGCAAACCTTTACAAGTGATACAATGCACTAACTTGATAATTGTTTAACTTTAATATGAATACATCGTCAAATATACAATTTATGTATCAATATGTACAAATAGGCAACACACCGGTCAAGTTCCTCAAGGGGAATTACTCTAGTATCACAGTCAAATTACAGGTATTATTTCATGTCTTTCCTTTCCTCCACAGATTGCAGCGTTAAGATCACCATATTCCTTAGTACCAGTCATAAGAGTTATTGTTACATTAAAAGAAATCACAGCCATTCCTGTACTTACACTTCTCTGGAAAACTGTACATGAATTATTTTATCAATTGCATCACAGCCTTAATTAGTCAATTAAGTATACAAGTTTTATGGGATTGAAGTGCTATATCTAGTACTTAAGTCTGGTCCCTGTTGGACACTATTTTTGCACTGTCCTGTATCACATCAAAACCTGGTCCCTCTGTAGACCTCTCCCAACATATCCGTTCCAAACTTTTGGTCCATTTTGGATCTTTTATGAATGTTGAGTGCCATATCTAGGATTTGTGTTTCCTGTTGGACTTCTCCTTGCTGTCTTGTGCTCCCCCCATTTTGTAGATCATATTTCCAGTAAGGTCTCCATTTTTATCGCCATCCTCTTCCTCGGGTAACGAGTGGTCAGTATCCTCGATTCCCTGCATTGATAGGTACTTCTTGACCACCATTAGCCAATCTACGACATCCTCCAGGCGTTGTGGACCATGGTGACCACCGACACGCAAGAACCCACCTGTCAAAAATAGATAACATTAACATCCTCATGTCGCTGGCACAGAAACCAAACGGTCAGAATGAGAACTTGCTGGGCAATACCTTTTAACCCTGAATGTCCTATACAGACCTATTCTAAACATGGAACAAATAACTAGCAATAAACCAACTGACCCAAGTTATCTCTTTGGACACAGAAATCTTTAGCCCATCAGGAGAGTAAGGTAAACAATAAGGTATGTCCATATATATTTTGACTGGTAATCTATGGTCCAGTGGAACTGTTAACTTAACAAGAGGCCCATGGGCCTTAACGGTCACCTGATATATTTATACAGAGAGTTGATTTTGTTTTTAACATGAACAGAAATATTATTCAAAGTGACAAAAAACAATAAAACCACCTTATTCAATATCTAGCATACAGATTTCAGACTAAAAAGTATTTGAAACTAGCACCTCTGATTCTAAACAAGGAAAATGAAGAAATTTTAGCACACTGACTCCTTTGAGCCCCACCCTACAGCCCTTGGGGGTAGGGCTGGCTCAAAATTTTCAAAGTATCAAACTGTCAATTCAAGGTTATAATTCCAATCAAGTTATTAACATGTAATATTCAAA